ATAAAAAAATTATAATTAAATCACACACACACACACACACACACACACACACACACACACACACACACACACACACACACACACACACACTCACACACACTCACACACACACACTCACACACACACACACACTCACACACACACACACACTCACACACACACACTCACAAACCCTCTTGGATTCGTGGTACATTGCCTCGCGCTTGCATCAGTCACGCACATGTTGTCGTTGTTGTCGTTGCTTCAATGGGGTAAGCCGAATGGTTGCATCAATGAACTACGGAACGAAAGCAACGCCCACTTGCCACAATCATGTGCACATGCGCTAAATGACGGTGCAGAGTTCTAAGAGGAGGCACAGACACCCAATACAAAGATAAACCAGCAACGGAAGAACACTCGTGCGTCGTGCAACTGGCACGTGGTGTGTGATCGCGGCAACGCGAACCAACAAAGCAAAAATAAGGCAGGCAAGGAAAAAAGAAAATAAGCTAAGAAAGAGAGAAACTCAAAATCGTGTTGTGGTGTGTCTGCCGCATATGGCAGGTGATAACGAAAGCATGGCCGAAGAAGGCAGGGTGTAACGCGGGGAGAAATCATCATTGTGAGATCAAATCGAATGAAAAGCAGAGATCAAAGAAAGGTCAACGAAAAAGGGTCAAGAACAAGAGAATCGTGTGCGCAAGAGACGGCAGGAACGAGCGCAAGCGGTAGAAAAGCACGTGCAGCGCTGCAAACGAGATCAGTGCAAAACCGGTAGCACTCACATAGGCGATGCGTTTGCCGTGAAACGAACATCGAAACGGAAGGCAAAACGCAGATACACAGCTATCACGACTGGGAAACGGGGCAGGGGAAGAAGTTGGGAGAGGTGGTGCAAAGGGAGAGTGCAAACTGGGCGACAGCCCAAGAAGGAGGCACCCCCTCCCCCCAAGGAGGAGGGACGGAGAAGAGGTGAAGTGGGGAGCTCGGCACCACGAGCACACGCCAGCACGTCTGAATGTCGTGCACTTCACGCGTATTGGTACATGGGTGCACTGCAACAACACGGCCACCATCGCGCGTGTCACAGCACAAGAACAACAGCAAATATGAAGCAGCAGCAGCAGCAGCAGAAGGTGGAAGGAGCTGAGGCAGATGGAAGAATCCTCTCACTAAAGGTCAAAACCACAGACGGCACAAACACAAACAAAAACACAAACACGTGGGGCGTGGAGGTAGAGAGGAACATAACACAGGACGAGGAGCGAACGTCTGGCAATCTTGGGGGTCGAGACGTGGGCGGTTGCACGCACGTGTCACGACGAGGGAGAGTGTGTTAGAGGAGGATGACGACGACTTGGGAGGAGGAAAATAGTGCTGTTGGTTCATATGGGCTGGTAGATCTGGCTCAGAACAAGGAGGACATGGCTGCAAAGCAGCAAGTAGTGGGGGGGGGGAGGTGGTGGCGAAAAGGAAACCAGAATGAGCAAAGTGAGCATTAAATTGAGCAGTGACGAAGCAGCAACAAGGCTAAAGCAAGACAGGGCAAGGCAGGGCACAAAAAGATACAAACAAACAAACACACACATGTGCACACACATGCACACATGCACACATGCACACACATACACACATACACACATGTACACACACATGTACACACACACACACACACACACACACACACACACACACACACACACACACACACACACACACACACACACACACACAAAGAACGCACTGATATCGGCCAGGTCGGGGATGGCGTCGATGACGTGGATGCTTCTGCATCGGGTGCACTTTGCGGCGGGATCAAGGCTGTAGCGCCAGGCAGATTCCTTGCACTTGTACTTGCGCTTGCAGCCACGCTGCAGCTTCCTCAGAGCTGTTGATGAAGGCATGGATGAAACACACGCATCAGGCGTGAGAGGCGTGGTGAGTAAACACAGTGAGATGAAATACAAACACCCAATCAAAGCAAGCAAGATAAGGAACCAATCGATCAAGCACGCTGCCAACGGCGTGTGGTGGGCGCGTGAAGGGTTGCCCACATTTCATGGGCACGGCCAACACCGCACCACATGGGTGTGATAGGGCAACATCCCAGCTAAACGCATTTAGAACGCACCTTGCTTGAGGCCATCGCGGTTAGCGACTGGATCCTTGCCGAGCCGGAAGTGCAGCTTTGCCCGGACCACCTTCTTGACATCGTTGTACAGGCCACTGTAACAGATGCCGCAGATCCTGGTTGGTGGTGGTGAAGACAGGGGAGGAGAAGCAGAGGGCAAACGTGAGAGCCATGTGGAGAAAACCATGGCGAGCCACAGATAATGGCGAAGGCAACGCAAAAGGCTCAACACACACACACACACACACACACACACACACACACACACACACACACACACAAATACACTACTACTACACACACACACACACACACACGCACGCACGCACTTGCGCTTGCTGTTGCGGCCGACGCCGTGGCAGATGGGACAGATAATTTGGTTGGAGGACGTGGGCCGGGTGCCCGGGCGACCCGAGCGGGAGGTGGCACTCTTGCGCTTCTTCGAGGCCTTCTTCTTCTTGTTCTTCTTGCTGCTGCTGCTGCTGCTGCTGCTGCTGCTGCTGCTGCTGCTGGCCGTCGACAGCGTGCTCGTGCTCTTCGTCTTTGTTGAATTGCGACGAGCGGTGCTTGCAGGCACCCATTCGTCGTCGTCATCGTCGTCGTCCTGCTGCTCCTCATCCTCATCCTGAGAATCGTCCGTGTCAATTGCGTTGTCGTCGTCGTCGTCGTCGGACCCGTCCTCGTCCTCGCTGCTGTCGTTCTCGGGATAGTACACGTCATAATCCTTTGCAGGGATAGTGGAGGTGGGGCAGCTCTGCGCGTGAACCGCAAAGAAGTTCATGGCAGCATCGCTGTGCACCGTGCTTGTGAAGTTGGTGGAAGTGGCGCTGGTGGATGCCGAAGAAGAAGATGATGATGAGGAGGAGGAGAGGGAAGACGGAGAACCACCCTCGGTGTCACTGCAGGAGCCGCGGGAGTCGATCTTGGCCACCTTGAGGGGCGGCTGCCCTTCGCCAGAGAGGGCACGGTCCTGGATTTTGGCTGTGGTGGTGGTGGTGGTGGTGACGGCGCCACGGGTCCGCACGTGCGAAGTGCGGCGCGGGTTCGAGCGGGTTGGTGTTGTGTACTGCTTCTTGTAGATGTTGCCCTGACCTTTTGCAGGGGAAGAGGAGGAGGAGGAGGAGGTAGAGGCTGAGGATGAGCGCTTGCTCTTGTTCTTTGGGTTGCTGCTGCCCGCGGACTTGCGGCGCTGCCGCTTGGCGACGGGCTTGCTGCCGCTGCGTGGGTGAGTGCTTGCAAGCATTGGTGGCTGCGCGGTAGCAGAGGAAGAGGAGTCACGATGCTTGCCGGCATCACCCGTTGAAGTGGAGGAGGATGACGGGTGGTTTGGGCTGCGCGTTGGTGGTGGCGCGTTGGGGAAGCGGGGCCCCATCGTTGGCAGGGCAAGGTTTGCCGTTGGGGCGTCGTGCTTGAGCCACTGGAGTATGTCCTGCACACTGTCTTGGTCCCCGCCAACATTGTAGGCATCACCTTTGTCGTCGTTGCTGCTGCTGCTGCTGCTGCAGCCGCTGGCGGCGTTGTTGCTCGAGATGTATGCGCCGCTGGTGCTGTTGCAGGTTGTCGTGGAGGTGCTGCTGATTGTGCCTGGGTGGTCTGAAGCGTCGTGGAACAAGTGGGGCGCAACGAAGCTGTCCTTGTCCACTGAGGCGAGCGGGGTGGCGGCGCTGTCAAAGTGGGCGAAGCTGGGAAACGCGCTTGATGAGAAGGAGGACGTGGTGGTGATCACGTCGTGTTCGGGATGATGCTGGTGGTGGTGGTGCTGCTGCTGCTGTGGGTAGTCTGAGGCCGGCGTCATGAGGTTGCTGAGCTGAGGGTTGCTAATTTCGCACGGCAAGCCCCACTGCGCAAAGCCGTCGTCTGTTGGTTGGTTGGTTGGTTGGAGATGTGAGGGAAAGGCGTGTGTGTGTTTATGTACAAGGGAGAGGAATGGTGAGAATGAGTGAAGAAAGGAAAGGAGAGCACACAGGTCAAAGGGTGACCAGAATAGGCAGGCACTTCATGATTATCTTCTTTCATCATCAACATATCATTCTTCCTTCTTCATTATATCGCTCTTCGTTCTTCTTCTTACTCTCGCTCTTCCTTCTTCTTCATCATCTTCTTCATCATCTCGCTCTTCCTTCAGTTCTTCTTCTTCCTCTTCTGGGTCTTCTTTGACGGTGCAAAGCAATCATGCAAGCGAGGCGCACCTGAGGTTGGCAGGGAGGAGAAGTCGCCGAGCAAGGTGTCGTTGATGATGGATGCGAGGGAGCTCGAGTCGACGCCCGTGGAAGGGTAATTTGCGCTTGAGGTGGAGGGGTTGGCCCAGCCCTGCGGCGGGGAGGAGAGTGCAGACACGTCACTTGACCGCTGGGAGTACGGGGTGCTGTCCAAGGAAGACGACACGGACCCCGACGACCAGGCAGAGGGCGGGGCGGAGGTGGTGGCCGACGACGCCGACATTGGGGAGAGGTACGAGTCTGAGAAGGAAGGGCGGCGCTGCTCCGCGTTTGTGGGAACGACGAGGCCAACACTCAGGGGCTTTGCCATGCGACGTTCGTGGAGGGGAGCCTTGAGGCGCAAGGCCGGTGGCTGGGCAGACAGGCCAGCGTCGTTGGTGGGCGTTGGTGGGCGGCCCGTGGCTTCGTCGCTGCTGCGATGCTGTGAGTGCAGGAGCGGCATCGTGGGGGACACAGTCGAGGTGGGTGTGTTGTGGTGTTGCCGACGAAGAGGAGGACGACGTGGAGGGACTAGAGGCGAGGGGGCGGGGAGAGAGAACTGAGAGATGGAGAAAGAAGTCGATGAGAGGACAAGGAACCGCAGTGCAAATGCAGAGGGGGGGGGGCGGTGACAGTGGGCACTATGTTGTGGAAGGAGGACTGTCGCTGTGATGAGATCGACAACAGGACAGGGAGGGAATGGAGGGGGGAAGGGATCGCGGATCGCGGATCAAACACGGGATCTGACAACAAGGATGAAGGATGAAGGAAGGTGCGTGGGAGGGAGAGACACGGTCGAGGCTGGATCAGCTAGCTGGTGCAGGGGGGTGCGCTGAGAGGATCCGTGGACACGAAGCAAGAATGCACACGCTTGCTTGCCGGTCGATCGATCGGTGGGTGGTGGGAGGGAGAGAGGGAAGGTGCGAGAACGCGTGAATGGAAAAGGCGGAGGCAGAAGAGACAACAAACAAGGACAGCGACGCCACTGCGATGGCGGTCAGTGTGAAGACGAACGGAAGAGGTGGGAAGGGGGGGAAGGCGAAAAAAAAGAAGAAGAAGAAGACCGCACCAGCACCACCAGCACCACCAGCACCACCATCAACAGCGTGCAACGAGGAGGAGGAGGGGGGGAAAACAAACAAAAAGCCAAGCAAGCCAAACAAAGCCAAACCCAGACGCAATGCGGTAGGTCGGTGCGTGGTGGTGGCTGGCTGGCTTGTTGGGTGGGGTTTGTCGACATCGTGCTGTCGGCAACACGTTGTGCGGTGTTCAAGGTGTGGTTATGGGAGAACTCGTGGGTCAGTTGTGGTCATCATGCCGGACCTCGGTGCTTTGGTGGGCGGGGCATGGGAGAATCAGCAAGGCAGACGGAAAGGGGAGGACGCCAACGAAGGCACACACATAACAAGAAGTAAACACAGTGTGTCCCACTTCTTGCCCCGAAGGTTTGTGCTTTGTTTGTGTTTGTATTTATATTTATTGCTGTTGGGGAATGTGGTGACGAAGGTCGCAAGGGCGAGCAGGGAGAGGGGGAGGGAGAGGCAGAGACAGACAGAGAGCTGAGGGAAAGAGGGCGTGGTAGGTTGCCTCGCTGCACACAGCAGCTGTGCGTTGCTCGCGTTTGCGCCTTGTGTTTGGTTGGTGGGTTGAGTGTTGTGCGAGAGCGAGGTCGCGTCAAGCAAGCAAGGAGGACAGGACGGCGTGCCTTTGCGAAATACAAACAAACGTCGGCAAGGTGTTGGACGGTTGTGGGGCAGAGTGGCGCCCCCTGTTGGTTGGAATAGGTGGTATGTTTGTGGGGTGGGAAAAAATGCGGTGCAGACGCGGTTTGAACCCGAGTGGGACGGCGTCCATCTGCCCCACAGACTCTACAAGCTCGACACAACCTCAACACCACACAACGCTGTATCGAAATGGGTTTGCGGTTGACCAAGCTCCTTTGGAATCATGTGGAAATCTTCCACCAATAATCACTTCAGACCTGTGGAGCGAAACGCGCATTTTGTGTGGTGGCGTTTCAATTGTATTTGCGCAATCGGCGCTCAAACACGATCAAACTTGTTTTTCCGCAGTGTGAGTTTGCACATTATTTGTGCTGTCGTAGACCGCGGCGGTTTGCGGAAGCTGCTGCTGTTGTGCACGACGACGAACAGCGCACAACCATGTTCGATGAGGATGAGTTTGATGCTCGAGAGTGGGTGAACGCCGTGTTCAGGGAGACGCCTCCAGCAAACGTCTCACGGGAGGTGAGTCAAACTTGTGTGTGTGTGTGTGTGTGTGTGTGTGTGTGTGTGTGTGTGAAAAATATATGAAATTGTGCATGTGCAATTGTGTGTGTTTGTCTGCATGACCACACACGTACATGCACACACTCACATATATACATACACGCACACACACACACAATACACACACACGTGGACGGCAGACGTACCCTTCGTTGAGGATATTGAAGCTGCAAACAGAGATCCAGGTTTGTGTGCGCTGTTGTGCGCATGCGGGGTTGTCTGCCAATCTCAAACGCTCACGCTGCGTTTACACTGCGCTCACTCAACTGCAGAGCACACTTGCATCACATCAAACACATATCACATCTCTCTCAACTACTGTCACACACGCACACGCTCACACACGCTCATACGCGCACGCACACACATCCGCACACCACTGCCCACAGCAAGGAAATGCAGAGCTGGATACGGTGTGCGATCAGCTCATCAAAGACCTGCCAAGGTGCACGAGAACTTTGTACTGTGAACATTCGCGCTTGTGTGTGGCGGAAGAAGAGAGAGACAGAGATCGAGAATTTGTGTGTGTGTGTGTGCATGTTTGTGTGTGTTTGCGCTTGTGCGACGGAAATGAGAAATGCAAAAAGCACACACACACACACACATGGACACACACACATGCACACACACGCACACAAACATGGGCACACGTGCTGACGTCGCTGACCACTTCCCTTTGTTCCGCCATCATCAGCGTCATGCGCAGTATTGATGTTGTGTCGCAAGAAGTGGACTCGTTACGGGAGAGCATGGCCATCGTGCGCAACGACATCGAAGCTGTGGAGAAGGTGTGTCTCGTGTGTGTGTGTGTCTCGTGTGTGTGCGTGTGCGTGTGTGCGTGCGTGCTTGCGTGCGTGCGTGCGTGCGTGTGTGTGTGTGTGTGTGTCTCGTGTGTGTGCGTGTGTGTGTGTGTGTGTCGTGTGTGTGTGTGTGTGTGTGTGTGTGTGTGTGTGTGTGTGTGTGTGTGTGTGTGTGTGTGTGTGTGTGTTGGTATCCCTGTTGTCGTGCGGCGTGTTGTGCCATGGTGCGCTGTGTACGACACTCTAATTTGTGATTGCATTCTTACCGCAGAACACGGCAGAGTCCATGTCGCTGCTGATGCAACTGGACAGCGTCAAGTCCCGCCTCACAGCGACCGTCGACACCCTCGAGGTCGGCACGCACGGCTTGTGTTCGTATCTGTGTGTGTGTGTGTGTACGTGTGTGCGGGTTTTGTCGTTGGAATGCACATGCTTTGGTGCACGCGTTTGCTCATGTTCACCGTCTTTGTGTAATCACTGTGCAGCAAGCACGCCAGTGGGAAGAAGCGTCAACCTCCATATCCGCTGCGTAAGTACGGTACAACTGGCACACACATTGCGCAGACACAGACACCGACACACACCGACACACAGACAGACACACACACACACGTATACACTCACAGACTCACACTCACACACATACACGCACCACCTTTGTGCTCACTGTGTGGTGTGCTGTGTGCTGCATTTCATGCTTGCAGGCAACACTCGTCCGATATCCGCGTCGTTCATGATGCCCTCGTCAAACTACAGCAGTTGTACGTTGAACAGACCAAAGGCGTGTCTGTGTGTGTGTGTGTGTGTGTGTGTGTGTGTGTGTGTGTGTGTGTGGCATTGCTCTTGCAGCTTGCTGTCTATACCGTGCGATTGTTCAAAGACGCCTGTGACGACTGCGCCTCACACACACACTCACATACACATGCACACACATACACACATGCACACACATGCACATACATACACACACATACACTCACACACATACTGCCTGCCCTTGTTCGGCCCCTGCAGCATGCGTGCGTTGAGTGTGGACGACGGACACGCGGAAGAGCGCTCCTCCCTGCAGACGGAATTGCGCAATCGCCTCGAATCCCTCGCCCACCGCGACCTCACCACAGCCGTGCAGGCACACAATGCAGGTGGCCGTACTTGTCTGTTCGTTGCGTGTGTGTGTGCACATGCGTGTGTGTGTGTGTGTGTACATGCGTGTATGCGTGTACATCTGCATGCACACAACGTTTGCCTTCTACCACTCAAACCCAACGCCTTCCACCCCCCCCCACCGCAATGTCGTTGTGTTGCTGCAGCGGCTGCACGCGACCTGCTTCAACACTTCGCTGCAATGGAGAGAACACACGTCGCCCTCGACCTCTACAAGTCAACCGCACAGGTAACAATGTGGATGTGTATGCGTATGCGCTCGTGTGCAACGTGTGCAATGTGTGCACGTGTGTCTCTGTGTTTGCCTGCGCTTTCGTCATGTTGCCTGCGTTTGCTCGTGCCTGTAGTCGTCGGTGCTGGGTTTGCTCGTGCACGACCATCCTATCCTAAAACTCATCACCCCCACCTCACCCCTCCATCACCACGTGCGTTTTTGAAGGCCGCGCTGACGCGTGTTGAGTTGTCGCCAGACCGGGCGGCTCCCTTGCCCGATGCTCTGCGCCAATACTTTGAGGCCGTCGCCGCTGTCTTGCAGGAGGAGGTCAGTGAGGGGTAGGGAACGAGGGAGGGAAGGGGGGAGGAGGTGGTGTGGTGTTTTGATTGGTTGAGATTCTGACCTGCTGTCGTGCATGTGTATGCGAGTGTGTGACTGTGTGAATGTCTTAATGTCTGTGTACGCATGTGTATGTGAATGTGTGCTTGTGCGTCCTTTTCTCCAACTCACCAACGCGACCGCATTGCGCCTGACCAAATCACCATCATCACCATCACCACCATCACCACCATCATCACCATCATCACCATCACCATCACCGCCAACAACAGGAGAAGTTTTGTGCGCGTGTGTTTGAGCCGAGCGGACACCACCCGCTTGCAGACGTCACAGCCGTCTTCTATCCGACAATGGCCGCAACCATCCGCAGCGCTCTCAAGTCATCCCTTCCGCAGGGTGCGTACTTGCTCTTGTTTGTTCGGTTGGCGTGTGCTTTGTGGCGTGTGCTTTGTGGTGTGTGTGTGTGTGTGTGTGCGTGCGTGCGTGCGTGCGTGTGCGTGCGTGTGTGTGTACAATCTGAATCAACCCCCCTCTTGAAGCCCGTCCCCACATGCGCGCGCATGCGTCCTCAGCTCACCGCCCGCCCCCGCCTCTCTTTACACCCGCTGGTGCTGCAGCCCCCAACTTGCTGGGGACGGTCGCCGTGTGCATCGAGGAGGCCGAGAAGGGCTTGCTGCTCCTCCCAACACCAACGTGCGCTGCTGGCGGTTCTTTGGGGGTTGTGTGGTGATGGTGTTGGTGGTCATGGTTGTGGTCGCGGTCGTGGTGGCGAAGATTGTGTGGGAAGAACTGTGGTTTAAACAAAATAGCTCCATGCAGTATGCTGACACGCACACATGCATACTCATACGCACTCACATACACACATACCAATACAAACACACACATATATATACAACACTCTCGCGCGCGCGCGCTCTCTCTCTCTCTCTCCATCTGTCTCCTTTGCCCGTGGCAGGCAGGCTGCTGTGCGGACGATTCTGGGAGCGTTTGTGCCGTACCAGGTCAACTTTGCGGAGCACCTGTACCATCACATGAAGGCAAAAGTGGAGGCGCTGGGATCTGTTCCGCCGGCGCCAGCTACACCCATGCTCCGTGGTGGTGCTGATGATGACCATCAAACAGAGGAGGAGGACAGTGACATGCAGCAGCTTGCGGGTGCGTCAGCGTTGGCTGGCATGCTCGTGCACAAGTGTGTTTGTTTGTTTGTTTGTTTGTTTGTGTTTGTGTTTGTATGTGAGTGTTTGTTTGTCTTTCTGTGTCACCACACAACAACAACAACAACAACAACAACAACAACAACAACAACAACAACAACAACAACAACAAAACAACGGGCTTCGCTTCTCACAACTTCGATGCGCACACACACACACACACATCGCCTCATATCACCACCACCACCACCATGGTACATCCCCCCCCCCTCTCAGCGTATGCGCGGGAGCTGGCTGGGAGCTGGCATGCGCACTGCCGCTGCATCTCTTCGCTCATGGCGGACGATGTGCCGGACATGTGTGCACGCATCACGGGCTGCGGCGCCGCCGACGTGAGTTTACCACACCACCCGCTGCTGGCTTTGGGGAAGGGGGATGTTTTGGGGGGGGGGGGGTGTAGGACGAGGAGAGAGTGCGTTGTGCGCGCGTGTGTCGTTTTTGTGTTTGTGTTTGTGTGTTTGTGTGTCAATGGATCAGTACTGCGCGTGCGATGTTGTGTGCTGCTGTTGCTGACACTCGTTGGCTGTCACAATGGCCACGGCGGCTTTGCAACGCAGGGTGCGGTCTCTGCGCTCGCTCGCGTCTGCAAACACATGTGCGCGACGTTTGTCAGCAGAATATCGCAACTCAAGAAGCTGGCCCTCAACACACGTGAGCACATATACATATGTGACCCTGTACCCCTGCATGTGTGCTGTGCATCCACGGTCATGTGTGTGTGTGTGGCATGTACGTATTAGTTGCTGTGTCAATGCCCAACGCTTCACACAACCGCCACGGCTACCACTAAGGACATCCTCACCACCACCACCATCACGACGGACGTGTGCAGGCGTATCGGAGCTGCCGTGGCCGCTGGCTGAGCCGCTTTTCGCTGCCGTCGCGCACCTCGGTTTGTCCTCCTCATCCCCACCCATGACGCACTCGGGAGGATTGCTGTGAACATGAACAAGGGGACACACACACACACACACACACACACACACACACACACACACACACACACACACACACACACACACACACACACACACACACACACACACACACACACACACACACACACACACACACGCACGCACGCACGCACGCACGCACACACACACACACACACACACACACAAACACACACACACACACACACACACTCACACACTCATACTCACACACACAGTGCTTGAATTGCACCGCTGACCACACCAACCACACCGTGCACCGTTCACCCCACCTCCTCATGCACGCCTCTCCGTGCCCGTGTCCTTGCATCGCCAGGCGCGTTCATATCCGCCCTTGCGCAGCGGGAGACGGCACTCCGACGCCTCGTCCTCGAACACCGCGGCGCCCAGGTGCCGACGTGGTCATGATAGGATGTTGATTTGGTGGCGATGTGCTGATGGTGCTGACGTGTGTGATGTGCTGATGGTGGTGACGTGATGTGCTGTGGTCATGATGTGGTCATGATAGGATGGTGCTGACGTGTGTGATGTGGTGGATTGCTTGGTCTGTCACTCTTGCCGTCTGTGAGTGCTGTGCCTTGTACATCAAGCGCACACGCATGCATGCATGCTGTGCGCCACCAACCCTAACGTCATCATCGTCGCTTGTCTCTCCGCTCTGCCTGCGCTGCCTGCGCTGCCTGCGTGGTGCCCACAGGTGGCCGGTGAGGAGGATTCGCTGGCGTTTATGGAGGAGAGCGACGACCCTGCACACGACTGGGAGAAGGTGGGGTGACTGCCGCCTGATGACTGATGCGAGGGGAATGGTTCACACAGGTGCATCATCATCATCATCACACGCATGCACACACACACACACATTCACACATTCACATTCACACACACATATTCACACACACACATATTCACACACACACACACAGCGGCGAGCAACGGACGGGCACCCGTCGCTGCTGCACGATTATCTGCGGGATGAGACGACGGCACAGCGTGACGCTGCCGTGTTCGTGCGCAGCTGTCTCAAAGGTGCGCAAAACAACACTTATGTGCTTGAATGCACACGACGTTTGTGCGCGCGTTCGTCCATTTCCCACGTATTCACACGCACACACGCACGCACACACGCACACACACACACACACACACACACACATACACACACACACACACACACACACACACCGTACACACACACACACACTAATTGTGCACGACGACGACGACGACCAACACCACCACCACCAGGGCGGCCGCTGTTTGACGCTGCGCGACAGGAGGTGTCCAAGCTGAACGATTGCCTGCATGCATGCCTCCTCGACCTTCTCCTTCACACAACCGCGGACGCGCTCACACCCGTCCCCACACTCAACGTCCGTATGATGACGATGACGATGATGATGAGGAGGAGATGGTAGTGTTTGTGGTAGTGTTTGTGGTGGTGCTTGTGGTGTGGCGCATGTGTTGTGATGCACTGCTTTTATGTGTGCATGAGCGTACATGCGCGTGTTTTGTCTGCATGCATGCGTGTTTGTTAATTCTCCCTCTCCGTCGCTGCCTGTCGCTTCCTCAGTCATCTTGCCGACTCAATGCCTTCGTGGTGTGTTTGCAATTTGCTTTCAATCCCCTTTGCCTTTCGTTCCAAAGGCGTGGACGTCAACGCAACACGAAGTGCAAACGCTCCCGTTTGTGAACAAGGTGCGTTGTCTGAATACTGGCATGTGCATGAGTGCATGCGTGTCTGCATGTGCGCGTTTGGTGTCTGCATGAGCGATAAGCTTGCCGCTCACTCCTCGCCAACTGCGTCCATCTGTGCACCTCTCCATTCCAGATTGCCGGGGACTTGGAAACGCTCGCAGAAAACATCCAAACGCTCGTACGTGACACATGTACACGTGCTGGAGTGCATCCCCGCACACGAGCACACATGCTCACCATGCACGTTCACGCATGTGCAGCGCATACACCACCACTGCCATTGCTTCCCCACTTCTCACCATGCACCATGCACCATGCACCGTGCGTGCTCGCATGGCATCACCTGGGCAGGACCAGAAGGAGGACATTGTGACGGCCGCGAACAGCTGCACAATTGCGCCGTTCACCGCGGTGGACACGACAGAGAACGATGCAGATGCAGAAGACCGGGACGAGCAAGCGGATGACAACGACGATGCAGGTGAAGCACCTGTTGCGCTGTACATGCGTGTGCGTGCGTGTGAAAATGTGAATGCCCACCTGTGCATGTTAACCCAACACCTATGCGCGTGTATGATTGCCACCACCGCCACCACCACCACCACTACCACCCGCCTTCTACTGCCCTTGCATTTGCAGATGCCATTTGGCTGCGGTGGGTGACACGGCGAGCAACGCATGAGGTGGCAGAGACGGTGTACAGGATCAAAGCGCTGTCAGAGCCCGGCCGCGCCATCCTCTGCGACAACATCAGTGCGTCACGTGTGCGTGTGTCTGTGTCTGTGTGTATCTGTGTTTGTGTGTGTGTTTGTGTATGTGTGTGTGTGTCTGAGACATGTTATCTCTGTTGCTTGTGCTTGCGACTTTTTGTATTACCTTTGATAGGCTTCCCCTTTATACTTCCCTGCAAGCACGCTGACACCCACTTTGTTTAATCCTTCATGTGTGCGTGCTTGTGCAACCAGGCATACTGTGCAACGCTGTGCTTGAGATTGGCGACGTGGATGACGGGCTGACGAAGCTCAACGAGATGCTGCGCACGTCACAGGACGAGTGAGTCATTCGTTCTTGGTGTGGAATGTGATATGGCATGTGTGTATGTGAGTGAATGTGTGAAAGGAAGTTTGTGTGTGTGCGGGTGAAAGTGTATGTGTGAAAGTGGGTGGAAGAGCGTTGCGTGAGTGTGAGTGAGCGTGAGAAGGAGAGTGTCGTTCTTTTGTTGATGCATTGTGGCTGTATGTTCACACGTTGATTGCTACTGTCTCGTCACTAGGGTGCTGTCTGAGATGAAGACGCTTGCAGAGACGCCGCTCGCTGCTGCCACATATCACGCTGCCAGGTTGCGTGGCCTTGTGGATGCAACCACAACGCTAGCAGGCGTGCACCCCAAATAGAACAGCAGCAAACAACAACGTTGTGTGTGTGTGTGTGTGTGTGTGTGTGTGTGTGTGTGTGTGTGTGTGTGTGTGTGTGTGTGTGTGTGTGTGTGTGTGTGTGTGTGCGCGCGCGCGCGTGTGTGT